TTTTTTTTTTCTCTCTTTCTTTTTTAAAACACGAATACTTGACGTAACGTTCCGTTTAATTTCTAATTTCGTTTCTTTCGTAATTCTCGCTACTCTCGGAAGAATTGTTATGCTCGCGTTGCGTTTCTGATAATCGATCGGTTGGCTGGCAATCAAACTTGGCTTTGCTTCGATGATCGAGGATCATCACGATTTTCGCAATATACATATTCAATCGGGCTTTCGATTCTCGAATCCGTGGCTCGAGATAAGCGACAAGGAGGGGGAAGGGGCAAGGTGGGAAAGGAGGGATTAAAACGAAGTTTTAAATTATGTTTGCCACTTGATGCCATTCGAATGCAATTCTTAGGATCTCACGAAATAAGATCCAAGCTCTTTGCGTTGGGCACGGCCATCTGCTGTGCATTACTTCGCTCTGAAAGTACACAAAGAAACGCTTCCTCGGGTAATGCAAAGCCTTAAATGTCTGTAACGGGCACACTTTCCACGAACCATTTACACTTGTCTTCTTATTAAAAAAAAAAAAAAAAAAAAAAGAAAACAGAAAGAAAAGGAAAAAAGAAAGAAAAGTACTCGCGAAGAAACTTTTTCGAACCGTTTGATAATCCGTCGCGAAAAATCATACCTTCCTTCCTTTCTTTTCCTTCCAGAAAAAAGAAATAAATAGAGATCGTCGCCCATCTCTCTCGCTCCTCTCCCCTCCCCTCCCCCCCAAAGAAAGAAAGAAAGAAAGAAAGAAAGAAAGATTCGCTGGAAATCGAAAATGAGTCTCGTCGACAAAGAGAACGGACGACGAGGCGTACACCTGATGAAAACGGCGGGGTCTCCGTGACTGCGTCCCGCGGCGTGACCCATTGTTTCCTGTCGCTCCGTCCGTGCCCGTGGTGCGTTTACTTTCGATCATATAATGAGCGGCAATGTAGGCCAGGAACGTCCACGGAATCGTATTTCGCCGTACGAGGCGACACTCAACACCCGGGACCGGCCAGTCGCGTACAGAGAACAGACGATTAACGCGATAGCGTTCCGCGTTTCGCGGTATCCAAGGTGATCGTCGCGTATATATATATATATATATGTGTGTGTGTACATATGTATATATAAAAGAAACTGAAACTGAGGCCGTGTCGAACCTCTCTCCGCCTCGGTGAGAATACCGGAAAATGAGAATAATCCATGTCCTCGAGACCATCTTTCGACGGAACGGAGAGACGAAGGTTACGGGATCACCTTGCGTATATTTATCGTCGTTTCTTGCTTCGACAATTTTTCGTTCGTCGATCCACCCGATGAGATATTTAACGAACGAGCGAAAAAAACTTCGAGTTTATCTTTATGGTCTCGTAAACTGGAAGAGGGGGGAGAGAAGTGTTTGGGAAAAAAGTTATATGGGATATTGAATTCTTTTTCCAGGTTTTGGATTGGACTATAGGTTTGACCGTTGCGAGTTTTAAGTTTTGAAAGAGAAGGTCGATTATATATTTCCGTCTTTTATTATCGTTCCGTTACGTGTACAACTTAGTACAGAGTCGAGTCGTTTACGAATTGCGATATCGTTTTTTCTAAGAATCCTTGTTTCGTCGTTTGGGCCTTGACCACCACCTCCGTTTGCAAAATTCTCACTTCCCGATCGAACGTTCGATCTCGAACGTTCGATATCGCAATATATGGATTACTTTGTCCGGGAGAAAGAGAGTAAATGCGTGCACGCACATTGTACACAAACGCATGGGAATTTCATCACGGAACGCGATGGTTACACCTTCTTCCTGAAACAAACGAGCGAAAATATTTTCGATTTTGCGCAAGATTTGAACAATTTCTTCTTTTAAATTCGAATAATCGTTGCGACATCGATTCATAGGTTAACACGCATTATCGTGTATGATGAAACAGAGAATTTGTTTCGAAAAATTATTCCTTTAGAAAGATTGGATTTACACGTAAGAAAAATTGAATGTGAATTCGTCGATTTACAATAAAATACGCGAATAATACAACTTTGATAAGTTATTGCGTTTGAATTTGTTGAAATTTACCCGTAAAAATTGATTCGTCGATTTTCAATTGCCAAGTTTACAGATTCAATTAGTACGCATTATTACATATGATAAAATGTTGGAATTTTTTCGAGGAAAAAAATTATTTAAAAACTCGATTTATTCGTAGGAAAAATTGGCACGATTCGTCGATTTACATTAAAACACGAATAATAATAAAATTTTGATTGAAGTTATCGCGTTTGAATTTGTTGGATTTAGCCAATTAAAATTTGTACGATTCGTCGATTTACAATTGCCAAGTTTATAAATTCAATTGGCACGCATTATTATACGTAATAAAACACGTATATAATAAAATTTTGAGTTCAAATTTGTTCGAAGAAAAAAATTATCCCTTCAAAAATTGGAAATCAAAAAATTATTACGATAAAAATTGATATGATTTACATGTTCAATTAGCACACATTATTATTACTATTGTACGTGGTAAAACACGAATAATAAAATTTTGATAAGTTATTTCTTTGAAAAAATCATATGATTCGACGATTTACAAATTTTATAAATTCGATTGACACTCATTATTAACTCGTGTTAAGATTATTCAATAAATTGTTATGCGTTCGAAAATTCGTTAAGATTTATCACACGTGGGAAAAATAGGCACGATTCGCGTTACCGCATCGTTTGCCCCTCGACTTCATAGATTCAATTAAGCGCTCGTTCATTATACACGATAATACAAATGATAAAACGCGAACAATAAGATTTCGATATTAATCATCGCGCTCTTCTTGGAGGAAGAGGGAAAGACGAAAAAAAATTGCTTCGAAAAATTGATGATTTTACCGGACATTGTGTATGCGCGCGCGCACAAAACGGTGGGAAAAATTTGTTGCTGCGATATTTCGGAGGCGATTTCGGAGGAATAATTTTGTCGATAAACTCGAAAAGAAAAAGCGATTTCCCTCCCCCCCTCTCCTCGCTTCACCTCGCCTCGCCTCGCCTCGCCTCGCCCCACCTCGCCCCCTCGGAGCAGCAGGAGGGGGGGGAGGCGAACCGTCTCGAAGCGTCCGTTGTCGCGCGATAAGCAAAATTCAAGCTCGGCCGTTGCCGCAACGCCAACGTTTCTCAGGCCTGTTGTGCAACGCCGTAATCTCGCCTAATTGCCGCTGCAAGAAGCAATTCGCGATAGACGTTTCAGAGGATTAATTAAGACGTTTCCTAAGACGCCGCTTAATTTCCCCTCCCCGCCTCTATCCATGCGTGTATACATACATATACACACACACATATATATATATATGTATATTCACGCGTATGTTCGATATACGTTAAACCCTTCGCTCACTTTTCCTTCTCTCGAATATTATAAAATAAAGGATTACGAATACTTTTGAGTTTCTGAAGATAGAAGAGAGAGAGAGAGAGAGAGAAAGAGGGGGATATAGCGATCATCGATCGGTTCGAGGCGATAGCGAAAGGGGTTGGTTGTTGTTTGCGAAC